ATCACAAAAAGCATGGAACAAATCTTCATAATGCCGTAGATACTTGAGCCATTCGACGTCTTAACACAGATATTTCTGGACATGCGAGGAGTTAGCAGACACCGGTTGACCCAAAAGCTTATCTACTACAGAATTATGTTTAATTTACGAAGTACTTCTCAATTTTTGACATCCTTTTTATTACAACGCATCGGCCCCAGATAGCTTAGGTTCTCAAACCCAGTGCGCATAACCATGTTAGGTCCAAGTCGAAGTCAGTTGCCAGCCAACAAGGTAATGATTTTTTCGACAAGAGCGTCATTGGTAAGACCAGTGGGATACTCTCATTTAAGTGGTGCAACAAAGAGAGATTCGCATAGCCGTGCTAGCATTAAGAGAAGTTTGGCATCTCATTGCAATGGTAGCAACATCGGAAGACGGCCTCAGCTACGGGCGCAGAAACTACGAGGATGTATATCACACCTCTGAGTGGCAGTAACTACAACAGAGCGGCCCAGCTCACCGCTGAGGGACCGCAGTAACACGGGCTAGCTCATTTCGCGCATGAGAAGAAGCGGTAACAAACGAAGCAGCCTGCATCGTCTCCAAATGGTTGAAGCAGCGAGTGAGCTGTTCACACCTGAGTGGCAGCAATGGTCTGTCGCCCTCTGCATGCCATCAAGTTGAGAGCGAGATCCGAACCTGACTGGTAGCGCAGCAGCATGAGCCGTTCTCACCTCTGCGTGGTATCAAGTTGAGAGTGGGATCCGAACCTGACTGGTAACGCAGCAGCATGAGTCCGTTGTCACCTCTGCGTGGTATCAAGTTGAGAATGGAGCCCAAATCTGACTGGTAGCGCAGCAGCATGAGCCGTTCTCACCTCTGTGTGGTATCAAGTTGAGAGTGGGATCCGAACCTGACTGGTAACGCAGCAGCATGAGCCGTTCTGACCTCTGTGTGGTATCAAGTTGAGAATGGGACCCGAGCCTGGCTGGTAGCGCAGCAGCATATCGACTCGCGTGATCAATTGAAATGGACCCTCTGCGTGAGGTACGACATGAGAATGGACCCAAATATGTGCACCTGCTAAGCGCAGCAGCACATGAGCCGTTCCTTACCTCTGCGTGGTATCCCACTGGAGCGCAGATGCCGTTGCTCACCTTGCGTGGATCACATGATGGCTGGTAGCGCAGGCAGCACGAGCCGTTCTCACCTCTGCGTGGTTATCACATTGAGAATGGGGCCAACCTGATTGTAGCGCAGCAGCCATAAGCACGTTCTCACTTCTGAGCGCAACAGGCCTTTCGCACCTGGCAAACGGTAACGAGAACGGAGCGTGGCCTTACACCTCGTGACAGGGCATAGTGCGTTGGCAACTTCTCACCTCTGAGAGCGGCATTCGCAGCGCCTGACGAGCATCCGACCGCACAGGCAGGTGGTGAGCGGTACGAGTAGAGAGAGCAGCATCTGGGACCAGGAGAGCAATGTCAGCAAGACAGTAGTAACGGACAAACACTAGTAGTGAGACGAAACTATTGCTGTTGACTTCCATGCTGTATATTGCCCCCCCCCCCGATTTTTTTGCGTGTCAGTTCGTGTTGTTATTGAATGGACAGGAAGATTTTGAAAAATCGAACATGGGCCTCTTCATCTTCGGTAAGGACTGCGTCTCTCACGTCTACTTTTTGTAAAAGCCTAACATTTGTCCGTGGTGATACACTTAGGGGCTACATAACACCGCGCTTTCCCATCACGTCCTGAAAGCTTTTCACACTTCTGATTTATGGGCCAATGTATTTGAATTCAGGCACACTTCAAGCATGTTTTTCATAGTAAATTTTGTCCAAGGATGCTAGGGTTGTGGGAATTTTTGTGGATGGAGGCGCTTGAAACGTGTTGTACATTACAATGCAGAAGGTGCTGGACTGTTTGCTGTTTAACCAGCGCGACAAAACTGACGGCCGATTCTAGTCGGTAGGGCAGAACTGATAGCCGGGTTCAACCAATGGAAAACAACTGCCATACGGCGTGCAGGCCATGGTACAGAAAATATAGACAGCATCTTCAGCGCCACAGAAATATCAATGTCTAAGTTTGTTGGTGCAAATCTGGCACACCTCTTCCGCCTGCATGACAAAACAGGCTGACTGAATCCGACAGGAGGACAACCTACGAAAACGCACCACTCACTGGCAAAACCAAACTAAACGGCAGATTGGCCAAACAACCGCCAAAGAGTGACATATATCCTCGCTTCCATCGCATCTGTCAATGCGGGGGTCATAGTAGCACATTTTCAACCACTTGAATCAATTTCACATATCAGCGTTCGGTGCTGTTCGTCATCTGCATAGACAAATACAGTGGCTAATCTGTGCGGGAGTAAAACACTTGTTGCGCCGTGGGACGAGTGAGGTGATATCAGCCATAGTTATTATCACTATGTGGATTATATCTCAACATATGGAGCACATATAGCCTGTCGTCTTGGATAACCCAGGCATGTGGGTCATTTCAAAGGGTTGGAACATCCTCCTTTCAGTAGTGCATTGCGAACGGAGGTACATTGCTATTTAGCACAATCACTTGTACGTCCGTGCACATGAGTCAAAATGATAGTGCCTGTATATTGGTATGCTTCGGTCCAACCAAGGCCAAGCAATTCCAATCAACAGGATCGAAAAATTTGGAAAAGCTCATTTTGTTTGGTGGCTGAGACGGAATAAAAAGGAACTTACCTTAGTTTCATCACCGGTAAAATGATTGTTTGGATTATCATCTTCATTTGGTGTGTGTGTTTAGACAACCTTTCGGAAAAAATTAACGTTCCTGCCATCGCCAGGCGTTATTGACTCTTGAGAAGGACTGAATGGCATTTGGCTTTCCGAGTCCAGTGCTCTACCCACTGGGCATGTTCGAATCCCAACAATTCCAAGGAGAGAATTTGGTCTGTGATGCGTATATACCTGAAAGTCGAACACCATTTAATTCTTCCCAGCACCCAACAGAAGCTGACAACGGCCGCACAGTTAACTGGGCTCAACGTTGCGTAAATTCTAACACACCAGACGGGGACGATTGTCCGCGCAAGTATTCCATAAAAGATACCAATATCTCGTCTCAATCCTTCCAAAAAATATATTGATAACACGCTGGTCACAATAATCATGATAGTCTGATATAATGCATATACATACGCATACACACACACACACACACACACACACACACACACACAACACACACACACACACACACACACACACACACACACACACACACACACACACACACACACACACACACACACACACACACACACACACACACACACAACCACACACACACACACACACACACACACACACACATATATATATATATATATATATATATATATATATATATATATATATATGTGTGTGTGTGTGTGTGTGTGTATATATACAGATAGATAGATAGATAGGTAGATATATGCATGTATGTATATGCAAAATATAACGGTTTAAGCTTCAGTGTCTTGTGTTTGATATCGCCTTCGTAAACGGTGGCATTGGCTTCTTCCTGATCTGCTAGTACCACATCCTCTACTGACGCACCCATTGTGTTAAGACCGTTCGGTGATTTGTAAGTCATTTGTTCAGCCGGAGACGGATCAGGATCCAGCCGGAGACGGCTGGATCCACACCCTGCACAGGATTGCACGGAACAGTCTGCACACGCCCACCTACGTTTTCACCTGGACAATCGTTTGTTTTGTCGTAGTAGAAATAAGTAGGCCTCGTGCTGCTCTGACATCTGGTGGTCAAAATCTCAACCCTGTTCTGACCAGTGTTTGTATGTCTTTCCGCGCTTTGAAAAAATCCGCGTTTCCCATGCTACACTGGCAGGTGAAATGGTAGTGACATTGGGACGTTGCAGAAATGCACCCCGTGATAAGATAGCTTACGTCGACACGTTTTGAAACCATATTCTTGCCACCTGCTGTCGATAGCATTCTGGCAATACATTCATTGTTTGCAAAGATGCCTCCGCCCGTTTAAGTGTGTCTGGCATGGCCAGGCCGGGCCACTGGAGCTAAAACATGCGCGAATACTTGACGTCATGACTCTCAGCATGAAATTGTTCTGATTGGGCATCTGACTGGGCACAATACGTCCATGACGCTTGAAATCGAAATCATGAAACGCGTCCGGGTTCACTGATGGCACGGAAACCAGGCGACATCGTACACACGGGCTCGATTTGCCTCAGGGGTGCTTCCCTCAACCGGTTGGTGTGACTCCAACCCAGGTCAGTCAAGTTATGTTATCCTGAGTGCTGTTTTCTTTCCGCATTGAGTCAATTTCCAGTGCCATTGGAGGACAAGGAAAAAACATTTGTGGTTTGTTTTTCTTCGCACGCCTCGGAGTCTCATCGGCACGGTTCAAGTGGGTCTCCGCCGAGTTGACAGAGCTAAGTTGCAAGTTGGGGACCTGGGGAAGTTCGAGCCCCAACAACCGAATGCGTTCCCGTGGTCTGCCCCTTGCATACCTGCCTGACGGCCCATGTTACCACGGCTACGTGGGGGCGGCTCAGTCGGTACAATGCATGACCAGCGGGCAATAAATCACATCGGCAGAGTGTCACTGAGCCGGGGCGACCCCGTCATTAAGGCGCCTGGCCTGCCGGTCAGTGCAATTCTCTGCAGCTGACTACCCGTCAGGGAACAACACTGCTATTCAGAACGCATTAAGTACGCGATCTCACCACGCTCAGGTATGTATAGTCGCGCCGTAAGTTCCCAGATAACAGCGCTAAGCTTGGGAGTGGGACCGCGGCCCAAATATGTGTCAACATCAATTGACTTAAAGCCCTGGATATGGACAAAGGTACTGCGTTGGAAGATCATGACCAGTGCACTTTTCTCGAAGCTTACTGTTAGGCTCATCGTGACGAATGAAAAGAGCTGGCTTAAAAAATCTGCCCACTTTGGAGGCCAGTTCCGACACCGTCCCTGACCGCGTGGCTTCCGCGACCAGGAGTGACACGATACGATCAGGAGCGACACAATATGACCAGGAGCGACACAATACGACCAGGAGCGACACAATGCGACCCAGCCAGTCGTGTCTGTGACAACGAAGGGCTGACTTCAACTCTGAACGGAAAATTAGAGACATGGTATTCTGACATACAGCGGACTTACTGGCCTCTCTGGCACACAGTAGCTTTCATTCCAGCTTGATCGCTGATAGCGTGCTCCTCAACCTATTCGTCCTTGGAGTCACGTCCTAGAGTCTCATCAGCAACGCTTACAGAACATGAAAATTCAGTTAGTGGAGACGTAAACAGCGATTCACAATTGCTCATCCAACACGATTTACGAACACCGTTACTAAAGAATACTACCCTATACTGTCTTCCCTACTCGCGCCATTGGGTAAATATATACATGGAACATTCGCTATGCTAACATAAAATATTCCACACTACTCAACGGTGCCAGCGCTCCGTGGCTTGTTATGTAACTTATTTTCGACAATTGGATAGCATTATTTGCTAGACTGCCTTATATAATATCAATATCAATATCAATATCACTATCAATACTAATGCTGCCAACATTGATATCAACAACGTTACCTGAATGCTTTTGTGAGGGGCAATGCACACAAAACACCTCGATCTATTTCTAACGTATGAATAACTCGGCAATCTGTTGTAGGCACACTCTGGCTTGCCATATGGGAACTGACTGCCAACGACGTAGCATTCTTACAGAACATGAGCTGAATTACGTTATGAATTACGACAGCAAACCAACCAGCCCTGCCAAAAGCTGTTATAGCAGTGTGACCGGGCATGCCAAAGACCATCCATTTCAGTTATTGGCTAAGTTCCGACTCGAGACAAGAGTATCATAGCATGCCTTAGAGAACGTAAACCATGATTATTCCGACCCCAGCAGCGCTGCACAGCTCTTCGCGTGTTAGCGACTGGGATGATTTGGATTCTTCATGGGCGCGGAGGGACACTGGGCGGTCAAACGACCTTTAAAGAGATACGAAGCACGACCCATATGCCTAAGACATACGAACATCTATTCCAATGTGAGATATCTCACGGCTTCTGCCAACATGCAAGCGCGTACCACATGACTTATGTGCATCTGGATTACCCAGCTAGGTCTCCTGAACGTAGTGGTGTCTAGGTGTTCTCCATTACGGACTAACTTAGCGCTCTGTTTGCTGGCGTCGGTCATTCTTCTTGTCCCTCCCCTACATCAGCCCAGTGAAAGAATACAAAACCAAGAACCCATTGTGTCGCAAATCATTCAAATTAATGACATTGCATTACAAAGGGCGCCCTGTGATTTTGCACCAATCCAGTAAACTGATTACAAAACAGGGGCTCCCTGTGACCCTGGTTTAGTCCAATAAACCTATCCCAAACAGATGACTTCCTTTGTTCTTACATCACTTAAGCAAAGGAGCCACTTAACAATTCCCTTCCCGTGATCCTACACCATTTCAGCTATTGAGTGACAAGACAAAGACCTCTCTGTGACCCTACCTCAGTCCCGAGAGGGAATCACAAAACAAATGTCTTACTGTGGAATATGATCCAAAAAAGTTCAGTAAAGGAATCACAAGACAAAGGACTCCCTGCCACCCTAAATCAGTCAAGTAAAGGAATCCCAAAACAAAGGGCTCTGTTATCATACTCCGACCGGTAAAGGAATCACAAGATAAGGGACGACGTTTATTGATGTACCTAGCGCCGCAGGAGGCTTCGTCCCTCACTTTCTGTCTGCATCTGTTATAAACGGCATGAACATGGATGAAAGAAAAAGCCTGCAGACATGAAAGTAAAGAAAGCTTTCGAATAAGTTGGCATCCACTCCCTAGGATGTGCCATGTGAAGTAGAACTAACAACGCCAGCATATAACTGTTCTGCATTGACTACCCGATGTGCAAACGACAAGCGCGAATTAGGTGAACGGCGCGTAGCCTTTTCCTGACCGGTCTGAACGGCGTTATGCTAGATGAAATATGAATCGGTGCGCCTCGTCTAAAATAATTGCTCGTTCCGATCACGCGAGCAACGCTTGCGTTCCATCCCACCCAAACCCCATCCCCCCCCCCTCTCCCCAACAGTGACGGCTGTGAGCGCCCTCTCTGGGGGTCATCAGGCGACAATGAATATGTCTTAATCGAAATTAGGTACACTCATATGAATAAGCGCCTCTTCATCACGAGGCGGGGCTTCATTATGCGTGTGTCGCTATGCAGACTTCTCTTCGAGCCTTCTATCAGCGGCTTCAAGCCTTCGTGGGGCGTTTGAGAACATCACCTCACCTGTCCTCGCCGTGGGTGCCGCACCACAGTGTGAAGACAGCGGATGCGCAGCGCCGTCCGGGCCGACGGTGACCGCAGCGCCTGCTCGGCTGGCCGGAGCGTGGCTGACGGGGGCCGGGGAGACCGGCACTGGCGGGCACGCTCGGCGCCGCTGCTTTATACCGCGCCCGACGCGCCGCGACCCCGGCCGCGCACTCCGCGAACGCCACGCGGCCAACTGCCGCTGCACGCAGAAGCAGGGCAGACAGCCTGTGCAAAGGCAGCCACGAGCTCGCCGCGCGCACTGTCTCGAGCCTGTTTGTGAACATTAATGTACCCACGCAGCCCATACGAACTAAAAAACACACTTTTCGACTGCGTTACATTGCTCAAGCTGAGGTCACTTCCAGTATAAACGGCCGCACGAGACTTAACGAAGCGCTTTGAAATTTAGACGGCCCAAATTTAGGCCCAAATTTAAATGAAGGCGGCCTTCTGGAAACATCTGCTGGCCCATTTAACGGCAAAACAACGAGTGAAGAGAGAGAAATGGCACCGTGAATTTCAGGTTTCGATAGAAGCACCTCTTAAATGCTTTATTGGTGAACTTCTTAGGAATATCACGGCAACAGTCAAGGAGTTGTGGCAATGGGAATTGCACCCTACTCTGAAAGGGGAGAGATACCTCCTCCTAAGGTTTCCTGAGGATATCTCCCAGCAAACTGAGTGATCGCGAACAACTATTTGGTAACCTAGAGTGTTTGCTTTGCGCGTGTTTTGCACGGAAAAACGTGTTTAGCTTATGTGATATCTGAGTACCGAAGGTTCTTTCATGAATAATGCACGACGATTCACGACCGGCATGGGCGGCAGTCGACAAATCCAACGACCGCGCGTGACGGCCCGACCCTTAAACCTTGAAGGGAGTGTTTCACATTTCTATGGGATTTCGAACCGAAGTAGTCACCCCTAAGATCATTTGGTGCAGTTCATAGCCCTGTCTTTCTTAAGACCGAAACCCCTCTAGTTTCTGAGCGACGCGCTCGCGAAGATGGGGAGAATGTTTCGCGGAGAGGAGTTCAAGGTCACCTTGGTATTCATGTCATCGCAATAACGTCATTCAAACCGTGCCATTCCATTATCTATGCCGCGATCAAAGCCAATAGAAACATAATGACCCAACGATTGACATCTGGCGTTTGGGAGTACGACTTCCAAATATAACGGGCGTCAATCGGCTCTCAATCTCATTGTTTTGTAACGCACGATGATGTAATCAAACTATGACGTATTGAAGAACATATTTGCTAAACAGATACACTGCTTTGTCTGGAGCAATCTTTTTCACTTAAAAGCTTGTCAGTAATTATAAGTGAGCTTATTTCATCATATCAACTGCTTGCTTCAATACATTCAAATGCGAAATACTCCCTTAAAGAGCCCCTGCCCGCAGAGATGGGCCCTCAAATGTCAGTCAGAGGGCCCCTTGCAGCGATTGAGAACCCCTGGGGCACTGATGTCCCTTATTTGGACCAGAGATCACCAACGCCGAACAGTCGGCTCCGTGTTGGCCTGAGACCTGGGAGCCCATTTCCCAGGCAGGGATAACGCCGGGACTCGCGGTTAGTGTCGGTCGGGAATTTGGGACCCCTGAAACAATGAGTGTCCATTTGTCTGTCAGAGGCCCATGGTGCCTTATAGAGAGCTGTGGCTGTGATTGTGTCGAACAGTGCCTGTGTCTACAAGGAGCCCTGGCTCGGCCAGGGGAACGTTTGCTGAACATGGGCAGGGACGGGATCCCGAATGTCAGAAGACTTCTTGCGTTGGTCGAGGCCCTCTGACGATGAAGACAAACATGATAACTTATGACTTGGGTGCCCAATTAGACAATGGGAAGGCACCGGTCAGTCAGGGCGCCATCCCCAGACGAGGTCCCGCACCTTATTGCAGCCAAGGGCCGTCGAACTTGAGCCTCAATCATTTGACCACCTGTGGCGATGAGATCTCTTGTTACGTCAATGAGGGCTTTTGCAACGATCCTCAGGGAATCTCCGGCGTCAAGCAAGTGAACTTATGTATGAATGGTTCCTCTAAGAGCTTTGGTATCGACCAGGTGACACCTCCCCTTTATTGTCTGCATAACAGCCAGTAGGTACCCCGCACTGTAACGGAATAGCCCTTAAGTCCCTGACTTGAAATTGTGCAGCCCCCCCCCCCCTCCCCGTGGTCTACCCACTGGATACCTTGCCCGGAAAAGACAAAGGGTTTCAGAAGTGTCAATATGGCGGATCGAAATGAGGTAAAAATGATAAAAGGCCAACACAAAGAGTAGGTTCATTCCTATTCAGAACGAATTTGTAAAACAAATTACATGAAACAGAGTTGAGTATGCGTGCTCGCGATCATAGGAGCAAGGATACCGATGGCCGGGGTTCCAATGTTTATCAACCCAGGTGGCGTTGGCTGCTGCAATTAGCACCGGGCAGCGTACGCTTGGTGCACGAGAACAGCCGTCGTGAAATAACTCTCCCGAAAGTTTCTCAAAGTCATTTGAAGCTCTCAAAAATTAGGCTGGGTTATTTATATTGTAACTTCTTGGTTCTGGTCCTCAACAGAGACAGAAGCACGAGAATAGAGATTCTATCTTTACTTGTCTAACTCCACCAACAGAGTCCAGTACCGGTTCGCGGTGCAGTGATAATCTGTT